TCGTCGCCGTCGTCGTAGTCGTCGCCGTCGCCGTCGTCGTCGTCTCTGGGACCATACCATCTGGGGGGGGGGCCCGAGGAATCCTGGGACCATGCCATCTGGGGGGGTGGGGGGGTGGCCCGTGGGCCCGGAGCCCGGGATCATATATACACCAGAGTCCTGTATACGCCAGGATCCGCTTTCTTGTGCGAATCTCAGTGCAGGGCCAGCAAAATGCGTCGGTGTACAGAGTTCGGTTCCCTAACATTCACCACCCACCAAACCACCCCAACCCAACCCGAACGCCTCAAATTGACCTCCATTTCCAGGGGGGGGGGGGGGTCGGGGAACATCGAGAAAGCACATGTGGAACCCGTACCCCCCCCCAACCCGAAATTCGGGTCTTCGGGTTGGGTTGGGGTGGTCTGGTAAGTAGTCAAACATGCGTGGCGTTGCGGTGAAGGGGTCGCATCTTGACCACGGCTCGCCCTCCGTCCGTGCAGCTCCGACAACACTGGCCAGAGGAGTGGTCGCGGCGCCGAGGCAGGAGCCAGAGGTTCAGCACGGCTTCTCCATCCCCGGAGCTCTCGTCGGAAGCCGGGCGAGGGCTGCTCAATCCGTGGCTGCTAACATCGACCTCCGGGAAGTTGCCTTCGTCCTTCCAGGCAGAAGCCCGTTGACTGTTTCGCGTGCCGCGCCTCATTCCGGGAAGGTGCTTTTTCCTTCCGGGAGGGCCGTTTTAGCAGCCACGGTTTTAGCAGCCCTCGCCCAGCTTCCGATCTTGGACCACTCGCCAGGGCCGGACCTAGACGCTGTGTTGCTGGATTTCGGTTGTGCTTTGTTTTTGTTCGTTTCGGCAGGGAGGTACCGGGAGACGGGTAGAGCAGAACGAACAACAAAACGAAGGCGACAATGAAACGAACATAACAAAAACGAAACGATAGCAACACAAAGCGAAACACAAAACGAACAACAAAACAAAACAGAACGGCCCTGCCACTCGCTACATCTCGACTACGGGTTTGCCTCCACCCCTGCAGCTGTTGGATGTGTCGAGCGCCAGGGGCACAGGCCGTGAGGCAGGCTCGGGCGAACGGTCCGGCCAGCTCTGCCGCAGCGATCGGTGGTGCGACAAGGGGAAGCTAGTGATGATGAGGAGGAGGAGGTGGTGCGATGAGGCCGAGAGAGGGGGAGGAAGAGAAGCAATGAGACGGAGGAGGAGGAAGAGAAACAATGAGGAGGAAGAGAAACAATGAGGGGGAGGGAGGGGGAGGCAGGAGGAGGAAGAGAAGCAATTAGAGGAGACGGCCGATCTTCCGATAACGATTTTGCATGTGTGTGTGCAGAGGTGTATATTGTCAGGTCGCGTGGTGGCGCTCAGCTTACCCTCGCTCAAGACTTCGCCGAAAAGCTTGCACGTGCAGAGCCAGACGATGGGCACATGGCGTTTGTGGAGGTGTGAGGCTCCGCAAGCCTGCACTGGGCAGTTGCGAGGCCTTGCCAGGGTTGCCAAGGACGCCGCGCTTGCCTGCGATAACTGGGTGGTTGATGGGCCAGTTTTCCACCACCACTACCACCGGTAGGAGGGGGAGGGGGAGGGGGAGGAGGAGGAGGAGGGGGAGGAGGAGGAGGAGGAGGAGGAGGAGGAGGAGGAGGAGGAGGCGGAGGAGGAGGAGAAGAACAATGAGGAGAAAGAGGAGGAGGAGGAGGAGGAGGAGGAGGAGGAGGAGGAGGAAGACCTCCCCATCTCCCCCGCCCTATCTATGGCAGTGGTGGTGGACAATTGGCCCATCAGTGGTGGCCCATGCCACGATCTGGCTCGATCCAGTGCTCGTAGCTTCCCGCACCGCTGGCGGGGGCATGGGCCAGGCTCGACCTCCGGCTCGGACGCTGCCGCGGCCCAGGCCCACCAAGCATGTCGAGGTCGATGCATTCAGTCGTGTTGGTGCCCTGCACGCGGCGAGAGAGGGCACCAACCCGAGCATGATACTCAAGTGTATCTCACACCAAGTGGCAGTTTGAGTATACACGTGCCGTTGCCACAATGGATGCTACGAGCCCGCAGCGCTATGCTTGGACGACGATGTGCGCATCCAGCGATGAAGCGAGGCCCCATAGCCTGCCGCTCAGCCTTGGTAGCATAAGCATTCTCCTCTACCAGCCTCACTCACACCTTCCTTAGATAACCCACCTGACTCAACGAGCAGATGTCAGACGCGCTGCCATATATCAGTTACCTTGCACCCAGGCCACAGCACAAGAGTAGCCAGATGGGGAGGTTCGCTCTAGGTGGCGTTGTTGGTGTGATCTTGGCCTTTGATGATGTCATCTCCTCCTCCTCCTCCTCCTCCACATCCGTTGCCTCGTCCTCTTCCTCCGCCTCCTCCCCCGCCTCCTCACACTCGTAGTCGTCCTCCTCATCCTCATCCTGCTCTTCCAACTGGGATGCGCCCCCACACACGCACATACACACACACACATACACACACTTCTCAATGCATCATCGTATGTGCCAACTGTAGCCCTTCTCCCGCCCTCCCCCATCCCCTCTCCTGTGGCTCTCCCCTGGAGCAGTTCTTCATCCTGGGTCCTTGTCTGATTGTCCCGGGGCCCGTGGAGGGCCTGGGGAACCCGAAATCGGGGGCGGCAAAGAGGGGGGTGATGACTGGGGGGGGATATCATGGCGGGGGCCATGACATTTCCCCTGATCTCATGGCGCCTCCTCTTATTTCACTACGTCCCTGGCCCCCCCGCTGGGCCGCGCACATGCCGCCGGTCATGATTTGCACCCCCCCCTCTTGGACACCCCCCTCTTGGCCGCTCCCGACGAGAGCGGTCCCCTCTCACTCGCGTGTGTTGCTCTGCTCCTCCCCCTCCCCCGGGGTCTCTCCCGCCGTCCCGGCGGCTGCGCCGCAGGCCCAGCCATCTTCTGGCTCGTGAGCGTCTCCCTCGCCACCGTCCAGCGCCCTCCCCCCCCGCCCCCACGCGGCGGCGCTCGTGGAGTCTGCGGGGCCGAGGAGGGGGGGGGGGCCGGAGGAGGAAGCATGCAGAGGGAGGAGGGCTTGTTATGCAGGAGAAGGGCGAGGCATGCAGGAGGCTGAGAAGTCCTGGCGGGGGCGGATCACGAGGGGAGCGGGGAGGAGAGGGCAGAGTTCGAGGAGGGGGAAAAGGCAGAGGAGGATTTGGAGGAGAGGGGGCAGAGGAGGGAGGCGCTTGTAAGATGATATATATATATATATATATGTGAGTGTAGACACACAACGCACTTTTCGTAATACCTGAGGAAAGACGTGCAAGAGAGGGAGAAGGGCAAGGAAGGGCAGGAGTGGGAGGATATTTGGTAGGAGGAGGAAGAGGAGGGAGGAGGAGGAGGAGGACGAGGAGGAGGAGGAGGACAACTAATACGTGGGTGAGGAGGAGGAGGAGGAGAAGGAGGAGTTGGATATTAGCTGCGGCGCAGCGCGGCGGTGGATCGCGAGCTGTGATTATGTCAGGAGCCCGCGAATCCTTGTCCATGCAGGTGGGTTCTCTGTCGGCCATCCTTTCCGTTGCCTTTTCAGGGGCCCTGGACGTCATTGTGTCTTCCTTGCCATCGTCTCAGGGTCCGTTTCCATCCGATCGATCCGACTTGATATCGGTTGGCCCGCTCCGCTCCAATTCCGATATCCCGACGGTCCGATACGACCCGATTCTTGTTTGGAGTTGTTGTGCAGCCTTTCGCGGCCGTTCCGATGCGATCCCGACCCCGTGCCGATGCGGCCCGATTCAATTACATTTCGGTTCGATCGGCCTTGCCGATTCGATGCGGACCGATCTTGCTTTTCCGTCGTCGTCGTCGTCGTCGTCGTCTTCCGCCTGCCTCCTTCCCTCCTGCCTCTTTCCCCTGGTAGCAGCACACACACAGAGTGTGCGGGCGACGAGAATTTGTGTTGCTGCCTGCGGCCGGAGGAGTGGGGAGGGAGCCCTGTCCACATCCGTGCCCGCGATTGTCTCGGCCTGCGGCGCCCCTCCTCGTCCAGGGCTGGACCTGCACGGTGTGTTTTGGCCATCTCGTGAGCCTTTTTATTGTTCGTTCGGTTTTTAGGGGAACGCACACATGGCATAAGCATAACAATTCGGAGGTCCGCGCGGATTTCTCGGGTCGGCGCTGGGGCCCCTTGGCGGCGCCTCTGGCGCCGCCCCTGGCGCGCTCCGCGCGGGGCGTCCAGCGCGGTTCGAAGAAATCCGCGCGGACCTCCAAGTTTTCATATCTATGACAGTGTCCGTTCCCCTGGCTTCGCATTCGAGGCGAGGCGAAGGCAAACCGACTAAGAGCGAAGAACAGTACGGAAACGAAAAACACCCGTTGGGTCCAGCCCTGCTCGTCGCGCCATCCGTCGATCCCCGTTGTGTAGCGGGCGGGGGCGCGAAGAGGATCGCGCGCCTCGCGCGTGGCGGCCTTGGCCCGAGGGCTGCCTGCCCTTCTCCGGGGTGGCCTCGCGGGGCGCGGCTCGCGAAGCTGGGCTGAAGTCGGGCCTGTCCCTCCACAGGAGGGATATTCAAAAATTATCGTAAAGTGGTTTGCGGACGAGTTGCGTTGTTTGTTTTCTGTCTGTTTTTCTTCCAAGATCCGCCTGTAGGAGGACATGCCCGACCTAAAGCTAGGCGACCTAGGACATCTTCTGAGAGCGTGCGTCACGTTTCTTGGGCGTTCGCGCTTGCGGGCAGCATTCCCCGAGAGCGCGTCGACTCTTTGGGTAGGAGGGTATATCTCAGCATCGTTGATGCATCCTGGTCTTGGCATGGTCCTCATTATGGTCCTCTCCCTCGTTTCTTCTCCCTCCTTCATTTTCTCGTCTGCGCTGTGATCGCACGCACAGTTGTCTTTCATGGTGGGCAGGTACCTTACCGAGCTGAGACCAGCGGCTTGGACCATCGTGTGCGCGGCTGGGACCAAGTTCTTCAATTGTCGCCTGAGTAGGGTTGGATGGACAAGGGGGGGAATTCGTAGATGGACTTGAGTATGACGTTTTGCGGCCTCCTGGAGGGACCTCTTTCGAGGGTGAGGATGGGGAGGGGCAAGAGGAGGGGGAGGAGGAAGGAAGGAAGGAAGGAAGGAAGGAGAGGAGGGAGGAGGAAGAGGAGGAGGAGGAAGAGGAGAAAAGGTGGAGGGGCGTGGTTGTTGTAAACGCTCCAGCACCCTCGCGCTGACGGGGCCTCGGAGCGTTCTTCCGAGAGGGTGTTTCAGGGGGGGAGGCTGGAAGGACTCGCTGAGGCCGAAGGTCCACGGGTCTCGGAATTGTGAGACAAAGGCGGAGCGGGGCGGGAGAGGATCCGTAAACGACACGGCTGGAGCATGAGGATAAGGAGGAGGAGGGGTGGAGGAGGGAGGAGGGAGGGTGAGGAGGGAGGGAGGGAGGGAGGGAGCAAGAGGAAGGAGGGAGCAAGAGGAAGGAGGAGGAGGAGGAGGGAGGAGGAGAGGAGGAGGAGGAGGAGGAGGAGGAGGAGGAGGAGGAGGAGGAGGAGGAGGAGGAGGTGAGAGCATTGCTGGCTCGATGGGCAAGCGCAGGGCAGTTGTGGGCGAGGAGTGCCCCCCCACCCCCGTGCGGAGGAGGAGGAGGGCAGAGGTCGGCCGGAGCCAGAAGAGGGAGGGAGGGAGGGAGGAGGAGGAGGAGGAGGAGGAGGAGGCGGAGGAGGAGGAGGAGGACAGTGGAAGCCCTTGGCAAGAAAGACCCTGCTTGCCTCCAGGCTGCCCTGGGTTTCTTGGGTTTCGATGGTCTTGCGATAGAAAGCGCGACGTTCCCACCAAAAAAAATAACGGACGTCCTTGGGTCTCAGTGTTGGGTTTCTTGTGGAAGGTTTCTTGTGGTCGGGCCCCTACTGTAGAAGGAGGAGGAGGAAGGTGGGTGGGGGGAAGGTCGGACGCGTCACTGCAGCTCGTCCTGATGTGCAGGGTCGGGTCGGGTCGGGCCGCGGTTCTTGTCCCCAAGGGCCGCGCAGGACGACGCTTTCGGGAGCTGAGGATGACGTGACAAGCGGGTGAACTAGCAATGTTGGCCTGGCGTTGGTAGTCGACGAGATGAGCAGCTGGCCCAAACATTTGAGACCGCCGCAGTTCCAAATCTAGACCACGATGGACTCGTAATTGCATTTCCCCCAGACTCGTAGAAAGTGGAATCGACGATGCGCTAGTTGACTCCTCTGAACAACTTGAGTCCATGTTCAGCTTAATACTGGTAGTGGCCTCTCATGCAATCGACCTCGCAATTAGGACAGAGGGCAATACCTTGGAATGAGACGGAACATATCTTGACCATGTTTGAAGGAGCAGTTGCAGTGGTGCATCATCAAGGGTAGCTCTTCCCTGGCTTGGCAGAGTCTTGCAAAGTTCGGTGTGGAAGCAAACCGCCCATCGAGTGTGAAGCAGAAGTGTCACCCGTGCGTAGATTTGCATGGTCCAGGATTTTGCGCAGACATTAGTTTTCGAAACTGACGGCCCTACGACTGAAGCAGAGGCTATCATTGCTATCGTATGCCCCGTCATGTGTCTTACACTAGCCTTTATTGAAGCAAGCAAATTGTCAATCGTACCACAATGCCTTGGGATGCCCAGACGGCCAATGCAATAGGACACTAGCATGTGCCGCGTGGGGGCTAGGGTAGAAGCGTTCAGGAATTCTTTCGCTGCTGCCCTAAAAGGTTACATGGCACCAGCTAGCATCGACGTATCCCGCCTCTGCCGACGAGACGGCAGGCCAGGTCCCAGCATCAAGCAGCCCAGCTGAGTAGCGTGTGAGGGGCATGAATGTTTGCCTGAAGGTGGCGAATGTTATGTCGCAGCAGTCGGGCCGACGCGTTTGGCAAGGCACGGCGAGAAAGCAGCCGAGGCCACGTAAACTTCGTGTCGTCACACCAGCCGCCATGCTGCTGATGATAACGCACAACATTGAGCCGAACTGGCCCCATGAGGATAGGATGGGCACCCTGAGGGTTTGGAGGGATGGGGAGGAGAATGATGATGATGAGGAGGAGGAGGGATCGATCGGCAAAACGAAGGGGAGTAGGAGGAGGACGAGCAGGATGGCAGGATGGCTTCGTGGTTGGAGTGATCCGTGTTGCGGTGCTGCCCAGAGATCGGGTACTCATCTGGAGATGTCAGCAGCGGATCTCCGAGATCCGTGTGAGGCGGCCCCCCTTCAACTGGCCAGAAGTCGTGGAGGGGTCAGAACGTGTTGTTTTCCGTGACTGGGGGTTGGCGTTCGGTGGCAGAATCGGCAGACGGCGCCTCATCATAGCAGCTTTAGAACATATGCATATATGTGAGAGTGGTTTGGCCCTATCTTGGGGACGATCGCCAGGATCCCCCCAGTTCCTGAAGACACATCCATGATAATGCCTTACCCTCGGGCTTGCCAATCTTATGGATGGGGATGGACGTTGCTGGCTTGCTGTGCTGTCTGTTTGTCGAGTGCGTGCCATCGGTGTGTGCGATCGGGGTAGCCCTCTCGAGGGGATTCCTCCTACAGCCTTGCCATGTTAAAGAAATCATGGGGATACGGTAGATTCATATGGCGATGGCGCGCCAGCGACGCGGGCGAGTGTGTTCAAGTTTGAGTTCCGCTTGATAGAGCGACGCGGAACCACTGAGGGGCACGGTAACGCCATAGGAACCGACGGATTTCAGCCTTGAACGATCGGGGCCGCGATCGACTCAATGTTGAGACCGACGCGGGGTCAAAAACCTCGGCGGTCGCAGACCCCGCACAAAATTACCGTAAGGATGGTCTCGAGGCTGGTCATCACGGGGACAGGGGGGTGGTTGTGAGCGGAGCACCGGTGGCACTGTGATTAACTTGATTTGTCCGAGCATTGAGGCTAAATGGGATAGGCATCAGAGGAGAAAAGGCTACCGATACCGCTACCATTGCCTCGTTTTCCCTTTTCTGGGGTCTCCTGGGAGGCCCTCATCGCCACCGCTGGATTCGCCTCGAAGTCTTGGTCAGGTCGCACCTCAGGAGAGGTCCGCGGAGTAGCGCTGTACGTACCTGTTTGATTTCTCCACAGCAGCTACATCCCTCCGCGGAACTCAACGCAAGTTTTCCCCGCGCCGCGTCGGCACCCCCAGACCCCCACACTTCAATGCTGATGTCGAAGCACGCTGCTTGATTTTTCTCGTCGGCCTCCGCGGACCACGCCGCGCCGCGCAGCTGAACATTGAGATTGGGGGCGTTGGGGGGGGGGCGGGAGAACTTGTGTTAAGCCTGTTAAGCTTCGCGGAGGGTTGTAGTTGTCTCAAGTCCAAGTACCTCCGTTGGGCCTCCCAGAAGCGCACGGAAGTGGCGACGGTTTCGCAGATCGCAGCCCCCCGGGGACGGCAAGGTCTCGTGGTGATCCGCGTTGGACGTACCTCCATTGGGCCTCCCGGAAGCCCACAAAAGTGGCGACTGTTTCGCAGATCGCAGCCCCCCACGGGACGGCGAGGTCTTGTGGTGATCCGCATTGGACGTACTTCCGCTGGGCCTCCCAGAAGCCCACGATAGAGGCGACATTTTCGCAGATCGCAGCCCCCCAGGGGACGGCGAGGTCACGAGGCAGGGAGGAGGAGGAGGAGGAGGAAGAGAACGAGTAGGAGGAGAATGGAGGGAGGAAGGTGGAGGGAGGGAGGAGGGAGGGAGGGAGGGAGGGGGAGGAGGAGGAGGAGGAGGAGGAGGAGAGGAGGAGGAGGAAGAGGAGGAGGAGGAGGAGGAGCAGGAGGAGGAGGAGGAGGAGGAGGAGGGGGTGGAGGAGGAGGAGGAGGAGGAGAAGGAGGGGGAGGAGGAAGAGGAGGAGAAGGTGTGTCAACACAGTGCTTTATTCAAAACGAGTACCCAACACATGAGGGTTGGGACAACACATGGCGGTGGATGGGGTACCCTTGCGTTATGTCGCTCCGCTTCTGCGAGCTCTTCGCTCTGAACATCTCGGTGGAGCCTCGGGACTTCAGCAAAGGGCCGCATGTTCTTGTCTCACACGGGATGCTCACGGTCCGATGTGGTTCGAAACGATCCCTATTTGTCGTTGTCGCTTCCGATCTGATCCGCTCTGGAACGCAGCGATTCCCCTTCCGAAATGCAGCGCCCGAGCCCGATCCACGATGCTGCGCGATCCGATTCCGACTCGGTCCCGCTCTTCGGCGGCGAGCGATGGGGGGGGAAGTGAAAAAGAGAAGGCCGTCTCAGAAGGTTCGGAAGTCCCCAGGCCTTCTGAGAAGTTTTCTAAGCCGTTCCCGGAGACAGAAGAACTGTTCAGAGGGCGTGAGGGCTTCTGAGAAGTCCCGCCGCCTTCTGAGAAGGCCTTCTCGTCTCCTTTCCCCCCTCGCTCGCCGCCGAGCTCTGACTCGAGCGCGATCCGATTCGTCTCCGATCCGATCCGTTTTCGCCGCGGTTCGACCTGGCCCGAGCTCGGCAGCTGGGCGTCCTCGGAGACGCGCGTGGCCGAGTTGCTGGTCCTGGGCACGCGCCCCCGGGCGGGCGACTCCAGGAGGAAGAGGGTGAGGGGCAGGCTCGCGGGCTCGCTCGAAGAAGAGAACACTTCACAAACCTAAGCGGTTGGAGTTAGGTCGGGCATGTCTTTCTACAGGAGGAAGATCGAGGCATAGTACAAAAAAACAGTCCGAGGACGATTTGTGTCTAAGAGTTCTGATTATGTTTGGGTATGTTTTGACAATGTTTCAGCCATCTTCCAAGAGCCACCTGTAGGAGGGCATGCCCGACCTAAGGTTGGAGCTCCGCGCGGAGCTCCAACAATTTATGTGTGTGTGCAGCCGTTTGTTCTTCCTCTACTCATAGGTGGCATCTGACGGGGTCACGCGGTTGCGAAAGCGTGACATGCCGGCGCACAGCGTCGGGGGGAAGTGAGCAGAAGAAGGCCTTCTCAGAAGGCGGAGGGGCTTCTCAGAGA